AGCACGGGATCTGAAACACTGCCAGGAAGCCGAATACTAGACAGGGTTGGGTTCGAACCACGAACCTTCCGGTCAGTAATCTCGCGCTTGAACGACTTACATGTCCCGAGCTCAACCATTCTGAAAGATCAGGAAAGAGTGACCGGCCAAGACGAACTCCGCCGGTTGGCTTTTATGGAGCCAACGGTCAGTTGGATCCTCTTCCTGATCGTCGACTGGCCGACGCCCTGGCAACTCGTTTGTGAGGCTCTAACCTGGCTGAAATCGAGCGCATGTTGATTATCCGACATGGTATCGAGCGCCTTGATTGCACTATCAGTGTTCAACACTGATGCTTAACTGCCGTACAACCATGATTTATTTGAAATCCTTATTGTAAAGAAAAGAGTAAAGGTGGGTGGGGAAGGGACTTAGTGCTAGACAATCATTCCGAGGTGCCTACACCTCCAGACATTCATTCAGGCAATCTGGATAGAAACTAGCGAGGTTGGTAGATGTCGTGCGGTTACACGTCGTGACACGACGGGATATACTTTCTGAAATGCGAGTTCCCCATACTGCTTGCTTGTGTGGGGAACGGTTCGGTCTTCGATCACCGGGTACCAAATCAACATTACTCAAATCAGCGCACACGAGTGACCACATTTCAGATTACATCTTTCGTCCGGTGACTGCGATATCGCCTTACATGGGCCGTGGCAGTTGGGCAGGAAGTGCACAATAACCTGGACCGGAACAATCGACTGAGACACGTGAGAATCCGATGTCTCTGGGACCGGAAGTCTATCCTGATGTCTATCTTGACGAGGTCACGTGATGTCTTCATGAGGGACCGGTTAAAGTAAACGACCAGACGCTGGTTAGCTTACCGTTTAAACTGTGTGCCACTAAAATAGACTACCTGTGTGCACTTTTGGCTGAGCGATCGATACCCTCATCATGATTGGCGCCAGAAAAGCGGCGGGAATAGCCCCTCAAACATGAGGTGTTCAAGAATTTTCAACCATGGATGCTGAGGATATAGCAAGAATTCGTCCGTGACCCCACGGTACTGACGAATTCCTCTCCGATCATCAGATTAATTATCTTCCTGAAGATTCAGCCACTGCACCGGGGTGGACTCGATAACCCATGGCTCTAACCAAGATGCACGTAGCGTCAATGAGCCCAAGTGAGGGGCGAGAACAGCCGCTTGTTGCTTCGCCAAATACATTTGGGCAATAATCTCATGGATCTATCTGGATAGTAGTATGTGACGATGCGGGACGGGGTAAACACATGTTTCTTCTATCTTCCTCAAGCCCCCCCCGATACAGTATGCGGTGGGAATCGGAGGCTACTACTGGAAGCTGCTGACTGACCGAAAAGCACACGGTTCGATTCAAACCACGGCTTTTCGATTTCGCTCGTTTAGTCTTCAATCTAAGCAATAAAAACATGGATACAACCATAAAGCATACTGCCACATATCTGGCGCTATGAATGAACAACCTGAGTTGATAGCAAGACGAAAAGGGGTCGTTCTCAGTCTCTTCCTCACGGGTAAATCGATACGGTAGTTATTGGACCACAATCGCGCCTCCCTTTGACGCCTCGAAATTGTAAAATCTATTCTGGTCCCCTCAAAACTGATGATTCAGATCCTGCTAGACAGGGCTGGGTAAACGCCAAAGTAACGCCAAAAAAGCAGGCAACTTGTCCAGTGTTTCGTGCATAAGCGAGTACAGGATCCTATTAGAGCCTGGGCGATTCCCTCTACCTGTACTTGTTAGGCTTCGGTTTGTACAGTTCAGCGTAACAAAAAATCGCTCAGCTGTAGCACCCTTTTGGTGCCTAGCTGCCGTGCCACACGAAGGAGGCACGAGGGCTAGAATACTGTCAGGTCGCCCAAGTCTAGACAGACAGCGTAACAAACACTTGAGCAAGTTGCGTCCGCAGATCGTGCGGTGAGAGTTGAGTTCGAATCCCCTTTTTGGAGCTTATCGGCAATGCCGCACGAAAGAGGCTGAGATACCGCCAGATTGGTACCACAGACCTTTCGGTGATTAAAAATTCATGCCAATGAGCCACCTGAAGCTCGATAGATGAACTGCGGCACAGGAAAACTAAAATGAACAGGAGAACTCACATGAGTAGACCGACGTAGGCGCAGGTGGGGGAGGAGCCTCATTTCGGTAAGTCCCACCAGAAAGGTGGGATGTGAGTTGTTGCAGTAGGTTTGCTTCCACTCCAGTCAAGGTCATGTTGGATGAGGTTGGCGTATTCGCAAGCTGGACCGTTGGAGATCCGGTGTCGAACGGAACCGGGAGGTTGTAATAGCAAGCCGAACTGCCTGCCGAGTAGGCCGGGGTAGCACTGCTCACAATGGGCGGAAATGACCCGGTGGATGGAGCCATTCCTAGGGGAGAGCGAGCAGCGTTACCCGTAACAACCGTGATCGCATTGCCGTATTTAGTAGGTGCGCCGCGAGTCTGCACAGCCATTAGATTTTCCGTCGATGTTCCAGACAAGAAGGAATGTAGCTGATCGGAATAGGCCTGAAGCCGGTTCAAGGAATTCGTCAGCTGATCCGCTGACGGGACATTGGGTTGCTGGTCGAGGGATGATGGAAGCTGGGGACCATATGTGGATTGGACGCCAGTGGAATCTAGGGTTGCTTGGTTCATGGGAACAATTTTGTGTGAGGAAGCGTTTGGATAGCTCAAATGTCGCATTATGGTGGCTGGTTTGTCTTGCTGATCATTCGAATCAGGTTTGGCCAACGACTGAGGTTGCATGGACACACATCGGGCCAAGTTGGTGAGCGTTTCTTCGTGAGTCGTTCCACTGTTGTAGATTCCACCGGACAAATCTGAAGGGCAAATTAAAAAAAAGACATCGGTCAAGTGAGCAATGAATGACCGACCAGGACATGCAGACGCCATCATAGTTTGAATGATGGGAAGAGCGAACGCGCGTTCGGGCTACTAGAGGGCACAAAAAAGTGCTTTTATTGTTGAAGATCGCGCCATCGTTGTGCGGCCAAGAGCAGCGTGTAAAGCATAAACATTGAAGGAGGAACAAGTATTCTGCTCCGATCCCCTCTATGTTCATATCGATCAATCAGCACAAGACACCAGAACTGGTAGATAAATGGGTTACCGTCAAGAAGTGGCAGATCCGAGAATTGGCCATTCCTAAAACCATAGTTTAATTTGGACTTTGTTCCTGCTGATTGGTTCAGACGTTTTTTCAGGGTTCTTTGTGGTCTAGATATCCACACGTCGATCGGTGTTGTATCGCCTAAACACACACAAGAATCCGACATTTCAGCACAGACCTAGCCGACTGTGCTCACCCCGGATTGTTGGAGCCCCAGTAGCAGCGTCCCACGGTCTCGTTGCTGTGAGAACTGCGTTAAGAACGAGGGTCGAAAACTACCTGCTCAGTCAGATTCTTTAATGTGCGCAGCCTGTCCAACCGAATTGAGGGATATAGAACAAAGATTTGCATTTCATCCATTGTCCCTACGTATGAGATGGCGAGATGGCCCAAGTGGTTGGAGCGCGAATTTACTGACCGGAAGGTCCGTGGTTCGAATCCGACCTCTGCCACTCGACTTTCCCTGTCTAGGCCTGGGCGACCTGGCAGTATCCCAGCCCTCGTGCTTCCTCCGGGTGGCATGGCAGCTGGGCACCAGAAGGGTGTTACAGCTGAACGATCATAATTTACTATTATGAGATGGTGAGACCACTTGTACAGGTTCACGCCACGTCCTGGTACGTGTCTACCTCGCGATTCTTTCATCCGCACCCACGGAGAGGCTACCCATTGACGCTTTGTTGAGCTTACCACAGAATAAGCCGACCAGGAGCAGTTCAACTCCACTGATATGAATCAAGTCGGAGAACGTCAAGAAATGGAGGACCGCACTGGATTCACAGTCATCGAAAGGACACATCTGACCGTAGAACCGGGACGCAAGTCAGACTGGATCTCAGATTGTTCTGTAGCCCGACTGGAGCGAGAAAAACTATTCCCCAAGAACAGAACGAAGAACCTTGAAACGCCAAGCAGTCCACGGTTCCAAGAATGATTGGTACAAATGGTGGATGGAAATGGTTAAAGGGTCGGAAGAGGCAACTGGTAACAGCCAGATGCTAATCTGTCCTAACTGTGATCGTTCAGCTGTAGCACTCTTTCGGTGCCTAGCTGCCAGGCCACACGAAGGAGGCACTACCAGGTTGTCGAAGACTAGACAGGGGAAGTCGAGAGGCAGAAGTGGGGTTGGAACCATGGACCTTCCGGTCAGTAAATTCGCGCTCTAACCACTTGGTCCAACTCTCCCCCTGTCCTAACTACAACGCCGGAAAGAAAAGACCGCCAGTCAGTGCACTCATCGTAAAGAAAGGTGGATCAACGATCAAACAATACAGATTCCGCAGTTTGCTGCGTTGGGCACAGGGCTTTGGAGAGTGAATTAGCTGGCCTCCAGCACCCGAAGATGAGGTTTACAACGAAAAACAAACTTTTGAAGAGTAATCAAGCAAATGCTCCAATTTCTTGTTCCAGTGCAGAGGAGAAAAACGTGTTCAGTTTGAGTAGGGGTGAGATGGCCCAAGTGGTTAGAGCGCGAATTTACCGACCGGAAGGTCCGCGGTTCGAACCCGACTTCCCCTGTCTAGGCCTGGGCGACCTGGCAGCCCTCGTGCCTCCTTCGGGTGGCATGGCAGTTCGGCACCTGAGGTGTGCTACAGCTGAACGTTTCTCCCAACGTTTCACAGTTTGAGTAAGGCATTTGGAGAGTGACCGGTATCTAATGCGCTCCGATTTTCAGAATAGATGTGTGAATCTCCGCGACACAGTTTGGTGAGTATTGTTACTGAGTTACAATCACGTATCATCCTACGCGGCAGCATCAGTGGTCGTGAAAATCAACCGAGGTCTCACCCAATTCGCCGATCACAGCTTTAATCTTAGGACACCTAGAAGCCCCAGAACGCAGTGACAACCCAGGCAGAAAACCAAAACTGTCATCTTATCAAATCTAGGCGCAGCGTTCAGCTCAGTCGACCATCTTTGGTATCGTTCTCCCCTAAAAACGTGCCAAATTGCATTATGCCTCTTTAATCCTTATGTGCTAAGACCCATGGGCGCGTACAGATCTGCAGTGAATATGTCCCGGAATTCCAGAGAGTTAGTTACCCAAGATCACCGTCCGTAAGCAACCTTCTAAACAAATTCCTTGTGGAGAAAACCTGCAAAACGCTTGCTTCCCACTGCGTGGGAATTCGTTCTTATTGACCCAGAACATACACATGATAAATTGCTCAGCTGTAGCATCTTTTCGGTGCCTAGCTGCCAGGCCACACGAAGGAGGCACGAAGGCTTGGATACTACCAGGTTGTCCAAGACTAGACAAGGGAAGTCGAGAAGGAGGAGAGAGAGGGTTCGAACCGCGGACCTTCCGGTCGGTGAAATTCGCGCTCTAACCACTTGGGCCATCTCGCCCCAGATGATAACATGCTATTCAAGAACCCCCCGCCCAAAATACAATGACGCCTAGAAAATGTTGCCAAGCCTTCAGGAATGCGTTGTTTTCACTTTTGGGTTGAAAAAAGCTTGGAGAAACCAGTGAACCTGGACATGATTATGACAAGTCTCATAACCACGGACGCTGTTGTATCCGGTCGCTAACAGTTAACTTTCACATCAAAAAAACCTACTGAGCTGAGGACTTACCGATGGATGCCATGCGATCTGCAAGTCCATTGTAATTTATGACCGGTTTGCCCAAGTTCGCCTTGACAGATCGCACATCGTTTGGAGAGACCTGATGCGGAATACAGACCGATGTGTGCGGGTAGGCCGAACAAGTGGTGATTGGTGGGTGGCCTTTATTCGACCCGAGCTCATCGCACGCGATGCCGACAATGTAATCGTCAAACGGACCGCCGGAAAACGTGGAGAACTCCTTGTGCAGTTCTCTGCGACTTTCTGTGGACAAAGCATCTTTGGTGGAGGTGTGCCCGTAAGTGGTGTGGGCAGTCCAACTGGAATCGCCGGCGCTTGGTCTGGAGGCTGGAGGGGACTCCAAGGACGATGGATGCTGAACACGATCGCTGGGTTGGGCAAACGCTTCTGGTGGTGGATTGGCGAGCTTCTCATGGTTCTTGCGCTGCAGATACTGTTCACGTAGGCGGCGTTTTTTACGGTAGTACACCTGCGAATAGGAGATAATTTGGGCCGAGTGAGGGCAGGGAAACGGGCTTGATCGTGCAGTGAACCAATATGCAATACAAAGTTTGAGGGACTAAAATGGTGTATATAATTTGGCCCAGTACTGACTTGGAGTATCAAGAAGGAACATCATATTTAGCCTCCTTGGAAGGGAGTTCCTGCCAACTCGTAACTAGAGGGGGAGGAAAGATGTTGTAGGCTTTTCAGCCTCTTTCGAGAATACTGTTGTACGGAAAAGCAGCGTGATCCCGAAAGTTCCAGTCCGCTCCAAACACAGATTTAAAGCTTACGAACAACGGTGGTTAAGGTCCAGTCATCATATCCTCAGAAATCAGAACCGATCTGTCAGTAAAAAACACAGGAATTCCGACTGGAGTGAAGATAGATGAAGGCAAAAAGGATCACTCACGAAGCCGATTAAAGGGTCTCAAGATTCTGGTGCCTGTTCTTTATTTCTAAAACGAGGACAAATTGTTACCAGCCGCTGAGACACATCTCGGAGCACATCCTCAACTGGTGGGCAAGTTGAGGCGTAGGACTTTGGAGAATCAATAACGCACGTGAGTTTTCCAGCCACCGAAGTTAAATAAATCATTCATTCGCATCCTGAAATAGTCAATCGTGACTAGTTGAATCTCCTTCTCTAATGCCACGTTTCAGCCACATATGCCGTGGAAAGACAGCTGGTCTGGTAGTGTTGAGTTGTCCAACATTTTCCCTCACAAGCAGCGTCACACGAACAGTTGGCGTTAGGAGATATGGCGAGGCAATCAGGGGCAGTCTGGTTTTCTGAGACAAACTCGTCATGAACGAAAAACTGTGAACAGTCGTCATGTGCTGTTGGAGATAATATTCAGCCATCCGGCCCACTGGTGTAAACCATTTAAAGCGATAGTCAAATAAAATAGGTGAGCCAGCGGTAGAAGGCATTCCGATTTTGTTGTTTGCTCTTGCAAAGCAAATCGTCCGTTTCCACGATGAAGGTTATCGGTCGCTTATTTCGCCGTCTAGGAAACTTCCATCGCTCGATTCGGCGACTCTCTGTGTCGTTCCGTGACTCCAAGCCTCACGCTAGGATGTCGGACTCTCACCCATCAAACGTACACAGTTGTGCAACGTCTGTGGCTTGAGCAGAATCGCTGACTCAGTTACTCACCACTTCACATCTTCCATCCCACCGTTCTCAATCTTATTGGAACGTAACTATCTAATAACGGTTGGCTCACTAAAGGAAACTACTCACAAGGTTGATGAAAACTCTTCGACAGTCCACGACCGGTTTCGCTCTTCTTGAGGCGCATCAGGTAGGCGCAGTCCCCGAGTTTCCATCAACCTTGTGATCTACTTGAACCCAAACTGGACTGTTTTCGAGAAACACACTCATTTACAAATCAATTTGGTTTTCACGAAAGACTCAACTGAATCTCTCGTTTATGGTATCCTACAACTGAATGTGCTGTACACAGGCCGCCTCATGATTCAGTTGGTACGATATTCCAGATATCGCAGTATATTTTCATAAAGGAAACTACTCACGAGGTTGCTGAAAACTCTTCGACAGCCCACGACCGGTTTCGCCCTTCCACTTCGGGCTCATCAGGTAGGCGCACAGTCCCCGAGTTTCCGTCAACCTAGTGTTTTGCGTGTCTCGCTAATCCGCACCACGATATTCCATTCCGGATGGCGTTCTCTCTTCGAAAAGGGTGAGATGGCTCGGTGGTTAGGGTGCCTCTCGACTTCTCCTGTCTATGCTTGGGCAACCTGGCAGTATCCCAGCAATCGTACTTTCTTAGAGTGGAATGGCAGCTAGGCAATGAAAGGGCGTTAGAGCTGAACGGGTTTCTCTCATCTGAGCAATGGTCGCGAACGGATATCCGGACTGTAAATGGCTAGAGAGCAGACTTTTGATTTTTTTTGTTCACCTTCGACAACACCAGCGAAACCTCCCCGTATCAGTAACACTTTGATCCGATCCTTGTCATCTGGAATCAGTCTGGCGGTACAGTTGCCCAGTGTTCGATAAATAATCTATGAACTCTCCATTTTGATGCATTCCCTGCAGCTTTTGAAGCGAAATAGCGCAGCCCTCCCGTGAGTTTCATGAACAATTCTTAGGCATGCAGACGCAAAGAAAGAAATCATTACCAAAGCGAACCAATTGGAATGGATCGATTGAATAGCAGTCAAAAACACACAAAACGCACACTCCAAATAAGTCGGTGAAAAATGCTTGAAACTTTCACAGCTGTCATCTCCATGGTCGGTTGACATCAGTTTTAGTCCGTTTTCCTATTGCATAGTCAAACTGTAAACAATGATTTTATAGCTGTCATCTGACCTATTTTGCATTATCACATGATCAACATCGGCTAACTGCCGTATCGTTGGCTGCAAGTTGCCTATCGAAAACCTCTGATGCGAATATCTGATCGGTTGGAAGCATCGATTGACGCGCATGTACCAGAATAGCTTAGTCCTTAACGAGAAAGATAGAGTTGTTCCGATCCCGGCTTGAGTAACTCGGGTGCTAGAAGAGGGCCAAAAAATTGTTTCTCAGATCTTCGTCACCATCGTCATCATCGACACCGATGCTTCGCTACCGTACTGTTGTACGTGGGCTGGGATGCTGCCAGGGCGCCCACACCTAGGCAAGAGGACCATTAGGGTCCTCAACCAAAGGCTTTGGCTCAAAAGCCCAACCGCAAGGCAGCGGTGCTTGGTGGGAAATGCAAATGCATTACCATTTCTAAGGAACAGGTCGCCACACATGTTCCAACCCCCAACCTGGAGGACCAGGAGACTGTGTTCGTCAGAACTCTATCCAGCCAGGTGAGAGAGAGATCATGTCAAAACGGGATGGGCATCTGCCAGTATTGTTCAGGTCTACAAACAGCTGCATCAGGAAAAGGCCGGGTCTCCTCAGAAGCAATGGAAAAAAGCACAACAAAACGGACACTCCACAAACGGTACTTTGCTAGCTCCCGTTGTCTAGAATGACATTTCTTCCCAAAATAAGCAAACTAATCGAAAAGAAAAAGGTGCATAATCGTTTGAACAACGCCGATCGAAGCCCGTCTGGCCCCGAACAAGAAGTACAGTGTCCTGTGAAGCGCAAAATTCTATTACACAGTAACCAACAAGGGTGAAATTTGAAGGAGACACAAACTAATCCACTTTCTCATCGAGACAGAAATCTGATATCGAACAGAGACTCCGTTCCCAACCAACGTTTCGATTAAAAGCGTAAACATTTGTCACCTAACCTGTGAAAAAGAGATTGCGTGTCGCTTGGAAATCGATAAGAGTTGAGAAACTTCACCCCCCCCCCGCCAGATTACTGTTCAGGCTAATTGGACTTAGAATACTTTTACCACATGACATTTGAAAAGCGTACTCACCTCATTTATATGCTTATAAGTAGTGATCAAATTCACAGACATTTTTCGCAGAGGAATAGTTTCCGGATCACGGAAAGGTATAATCTTTGGTTCCGGTACCGGGACAGTTGCGGCGTTGCGGATGAGCGTGTGGTGGGAAGAATGGGGTAGACCAGAGAGCAAGTGATGGTGTGAAATCCCGATCCCACTAACCGGTGCAGTGTTCGATTGCGAGGCCAGCATGGTGCAAGTATCCGACGAGGCCGGGGAACAATAGAGATAGAACTGATCGCCAGTGGTTTGAGCCGAATACGCTTTTGCAGCCAATGCGGCCGCTGCTGCTGAGGCACCCAACAAACGTTGTCTGGCGTGGGCAATCGAGTCCTCGTTGGTCAGCGTCACAGCTGTTCCAAAAGATTTTGTACTGGTCAAAGTGGAGTCCACACGGCGTGACCCTGTGTCGTCCGGTCTGTTTTGGCCTTCGAGCATCTGGGTTATGGACCAGTCTGGTGAATTGTTTGGGAACGCATAAAGATTGACCTTGGCTGATGGACTACCCAAAGTGGTAGGTCCGACACTATCGTTCGATCCGGAGGACGTGGTCGTTGTGGTTGCCTGTTCGTCTGTTGCTGCTCGTGAGAGAGCCGACGAAAGAGATAGGGAGGTGGACGACGTGACGATACTTGTTTCTGCACCAAGTGACGTTTGTGCTAGATCCAATGGTTGGTGAGTACCATTGAAAATGTCACAAAAAGCTGTGTTTTCGTCCTCCAGTGCACTTGCCAACCAACTTTGAGGGACCAAACCTTCACGCTTCGTTCCACCACTGAACATTTCGGTTGTTGAGAAGCGGTTCGCATCCGAGTGATGTTGATTTGGATTCATAACGGAACGGTTATCAAATGGAATGAACTGCATGGAATAGTCCTGCTCTTCGGTAGAGCCACTCGGATGAAACAAAACAGCCGAAGACAATGGGATTTGACTACGTGAAAGAGGTGGAGGAGGTGAAGGTCGGTGGCGAGCGAACGGAGGGAGAACATCTTCATTCAGTCGAGGTTCGCCCAACGCCGAAGGCATGTTGAAGTGTCCAATATCATAGTCTCCCGAACCACGATCGATGGCATCCGTGTGGAAAGTGAACTGTTCCGGGGGCAACTCGCTTACCAGTAGTACATCCTCGTCATCCTCGTAATCTACATCCTGCCGTGAAGATAAGTCAATCCCAGGTGGTTGACTTCGCCCAACAATGATCACGGACGTGGGATCGTGATGAGAATGGTGCTGGTGGTGAGTTAGACTTTCTTCATCAGCTATAAGTTTCTCTTGATCATCACCCAAAAGTAGACTGTCCAAACCATTGGTTGGTGGCTGGGGGGATCGGTTTGCCGAACAGTCACCGGAGTCAGGTCCGTCGGGATAATTTAGAGAGAAGATATCGTTCAGAAATCGTTCGTGGCTAGTTGATGGATGACCTTCAGCCGTGGTGCAGTTCACTTCTTGATACATCACAGTTCCAATCTGGCTCGGAAAGGAACCAAATGATCCTGAGGTCTGTATGGCACTGAGGGGGTCCTTGGGCTGGCATAAATGCATTGATCGTCCTCAAGGACGAGGGCTATCCCCTCAGCCAGAGCAATACAGACTCCACGGATGACTTTGTTGAGACGTTAGTAAGACAACGACCCGAAATGTATTTCGTTGATGGCGTCCCTTCTTTTGAATCATTAGGAGTTCGCAGCGAAAGTGGATTGATTCTACTAACTCGTGTTCAGTGGCTTAATGGAAATGCAATGGAGGTCCGCAAATCTGTCTTAGCCAGAAAAGGCTTGACCGCATGGAACGGAAACCACATGGCTGAAATGGAGAGAAATCAAAAGTGAGGCTAGGGAAAACAAGGGGGCTGCCGAAATTAGTGAAAATAGCAGGTTGTTTCAGGGTCGGAACTTAATTACCTAAAGCACCTTTAAAGTACTACTTTAGAAGTTCTTTTTTACACGAAATCCAAGCTACCCTGATGATTGCCGGAGATTTGAGTGCACAAATTGGCAGACCTAGTGCATCTGAAGCTCCATTGGGTGGTCGATTTGGATTAGACTCGGTGCGCACAGACAACGGCGGACGAATGCTTCAGCTGTGCGCTTGCCGCAACACTAATTTCTGAAACCACCGAAGTCATGTGGCCACATTGTGTCCACCAGAGATATGCCAGCCACAAACCTAAATTGTTTACATCGACAGGTGGGCTGAATACTTTGAACAACAAATGTCTCGGCCACCAGCCGGCACTCACCTACAGCCCACAGGTGAAGTAGAACCCTGGACGGTAAACGTGGAACCACCTACGGCCTCGGAGGTTTACGACTGCATATGTTCTCTCAAGTGCCACCGAGCTCCCGGTCCGGATGACCTTCCACC